AAAGTATAATTACTACTAGAATATTGCTATGGAAGAAAGATAAAGAATTACGAACCAAAGGTTTAGGAAAAAAGTTAAGGTCCCCTTTTCTTCCACCTACGAAAACATTTCCGCCATCCACTAGCTTGAAGATGAGTGTTTTTTCAAAGCCAAAAGTTTACGAAAATTGAACAAAACAGACCAAAATTTCTGTGAGAATTAAACCTTCCGTTGTCTAAAAATAGAAGAAAACCTAAATACAGATAATAAAAGTGCTCATAAAAATTATAAAGAATCCGCTGTTACGGATGAATATGCTGAAATCACTTACATGCTAAGAAAGACTCAAATACGTTTCGCAAGAAAAAAGCAATCGGATGAAAGGCCAACAAAAATGAAATCGGATGAAAGGAAAATAAAAGATGCGTTTAAAAACCTTTCTAGCTATTGTCCTTATTATGAAGACAAAGGAATTGCTCATTTTATTCCTTTTCAGACTTTATTGCAGATATATTGGAATGGAAGAAATGTTAAATAAAAGTCTCCAAAATGAGGAGCAAATATGAACAACTCCTGAGCTTTGATACCTCGTTTTCAATGGATAATTTTTATGCATCTTCTGTTTTAAGCTCTCGAAGAAAACCCCATTTTACATGTCCTGTTCATGGTTCACGAACGAAAATTTCAATTTTTTATTATTACTAGTTTTATTATTTAGTTTGTGCCTATATATACATGTACAAAAATATATTAATCTGTATCCCGAAAATACTGGAAGGAAGGATCAATATAAATTCCGTCGTCTTTTGTCCGATTTTTACAACAATACTACCTAAAGGAAGTAAGAAGAGGCAAAGCCGGTTTTGGAAATTTTACTCTTCAATCAAAATACTAAACCATATACTATCTGTAAGTACAAGTATTTCGTAGAATCTATTAAAATTTGTAAGATCTCATCCGAGAGGAATCTACGGAGTCCTCAAACCTGACTAAAATTGACAAGTGAAAGGAAATTTTAATATCAGGTGAAAATTGCAAGATTTCTTTTGTTCCTAAAATGGGATGTTTTGTAGCGATGGGAAATTGCATTACAAGCAATGATTATATCAGCATTATTTGTAATTCAATTGTTGTGACAATGCAGTTGCTTTCTTTCTTTCTGTTTTTTTCTTTTAATAGACAATAATTTTATTCATCCAAAAATAAGAAAAAAAAGAATCTCACTTTTTAAATATGAAAGCCTTTGACTTTCAGCTTAAACTGTGTGCCATCACTTATTTTGTTTCATTTCTTGAAAATAACAATGCCTGTTCTTAGAACTATATTTATCATCGAGAATGGTTGTATAGAAAAATTAAAAAAAGTTTAAAGTTTAAATTGTTGACTTTTGAACAAATTTGTGATTTTTAATTTTTCCAACAGTTTTGAAGAGTTCATACTAGGAAGATTATGATGATGAAGATGTCTAAGACTTAATACAGAGCGTTTTATGAAGAATATGGAGGAAATGAACAGTATCAAAATAATATCAAATTCATAAAACAATACAAGAAAAGGAGTGAGCATCCTCTGTTGACCGGTCACACCCGCCGTGTGTTCCTTGTTATGATCGGGAAATAATTGGAACATCCGTCGTCAATTCAGTGTATAAATAATGGATTCTCAATTGACATAAAAAGGTTATCAATGCCCAGAAATGATTCTAAAAATGTCAGAAGTACAACTCATTTTTGTGAAATTTAGAAAATTAAGTTAAAGATCTGCGAAATGGATAATAATGGTTTTTGTTCAAAATATTAAATACTGTCGAAATGATATTCAAAGTATTGGGCTTTAACTTTTGTTTGATCAAGTTATGGTCATGGCTGGTGTTGAAAAAAAATGCTATAACAGGTATGGAGTGTAGTAGGAAAAAAATGTAGAAAAATTAATTGTAAAATTCATGAAGTCAAAAATGAATTTTCAAAGTGTATAGCAATGACAAATAATTAATACACAATTCAAAACTTAAAAGTGTTATAAAAAGATATAAAGCCCAAGCAGCATTTATGAGAGTCAAGCACCAAATAATGTCAGGAGTGCAGCATTTGATGTTTTGATGTTTTTCTTGTTTAGAACAAAAAACTTTTATCTGTATATGTTTTCTTATTTTTATTTTGAAAAACAAAGCAACAAAATACTTTTTTCCAAATAGATCTATCAATTGAAAGGGTCTTTAACATGTTTAACAATATTTAATAAAAATAGATTCAAAATCATGTTTGATATTATTTGATGCTCAAAACACTACATGCCATGTATATATCTTTCAACAGATAACAGACCTTAACAGTCAATTCAGGAAATAGTTTTCATCAGTAAATCACAGATATTTTTTTTACATGCAATGCTTGCAAATAATCATGTTTTAATGTCTAAAAAATATGAACACTTGCTTTTAACTATGAGGATATCAAAACGACAAACTAAAATAAGAAGGAGTGTCTGTGATTTGTAATTTTTAAAACAATGTTAGATAAAATACATATCAGCCACGTATATGTCAAACTTTTTTGGTTAGACTAGAATAGACTTGAATAGACAAAAACAAAATAAACTTTGGAATTTTTTTGCTTCTGTTTCTTTCCTAATGGAAGGTTATGGAGAAAACGAACAGTATTCAGTCTCAATGTCCATAAAACAATACAAAATAAGAGCAGAGCAAACACGGACCCCCGAAACATCAGAGGTGGGATCAGGTGCCATGGAGGAGTGAGCATCCCCTGCCGACTGGTCACAACCGCCGTGTGCTCCTTGTCATGACCAAGAAATAACGGAAAAATCCGTCGACAATTCAGTGTATAAATAATGGACTAACAATAGGTATAAAAAAAATCAGTCAGCATTTGACTCAATGATAAATTGTATTTGCTGATAAGGTCTTTGTATTGACCATAGAATTTACGAAATAATGACTTTAAACTAGACTGTTGATATTCTTGGTTTATCAACTTGCTTGTTAATAATTTACCTCGTTTTAGAAATTGTTCATACATAGAGCATGTTCTTGCGTATCGAATCAACTGAGATATATATACTCTGTATGCAGCTGATGAAGGTATATTGCTGCAATAATAAGAGAAGACGATAGAAAAGTTAAAGTCATCACGTTTATCATATAGCTTGGTTGTTAGACTATCATTAGTATTGCATGTATAAATTTTCAAACCAGAGTTAAAAGAAATTAATGTAAATTAACCATCAAAAATCAATTTATTTCACATATACAAAAGAAGAAACTCAATCAAGGTCTACATCTAATCAGCTATCTTTCCGATTCTTTTTATACAAAATGTATTCTTTTCTCATGATTACTGAGTATGTATTTTAGAAACTATTTTAGGGTGAAGTGCTATTTTTTTTTAATTGAAGTTTTACTAACGACGAAAAATTCTGCTTCTGCTTTATTCAAATGTTTATTCAATTGCCACTTCAGGATTTGTACTAAAATGCATATGCAATATTATGACATAAAAATATGTATTAAGTAGTTGAATTTTCCTCGGAAAAAAATTCGTGGTCACTATTTTTTTATACATCCACGTGTCAATCAGGGCACAGTCATATTAGGTATCCATAAATGATATCGAGGAAGATTTTTTTCTCCTATACCTATACATATACCTATATAGGTACAAGTATAGTAATATATTAATTGTGAACAAATATATTAGCGATAAGACCGATAGAAAAAGTGTCAATTCCAATGTGCTTTGATACCAGAAACAGACCAAAAATGAGCATTAATTTAAGAAATCTTCAATATTTTCTTTACCTCATATTAGTCACTTTGAATATACATGCATAAATCGTGTTAATTTGTGTTATGTTATTAATGTTCATAACTGTATACCGGCATTGTACTGTCTATAAAGTGAATTAAAACTTTAGAAAGACAATTTTCATTGTTGGTATATGGAGAGCTGAGAAAGTTAAACAAATTCCATAGAAAAACGCCAAGATGTTCTCAGCAATTAATTCTTGTAATTTAGTTAACACCACATAGATTTCAATAATTCAACGTCAAAAAGTTCATTTAGAACATGAAATGTGTATGGGCTCTTTTATATTGTGATATTGAACAATTCAAAAACGAAAATAAAAATTTCAAAACTGTCATTGATTAATTAAATGTTTAAGATCGCGACCTATGTTTATTTTTTAGTTGATAAGGTTGTATAATAAATCTGAAATAAACGTGAATTATATGATAACAAAAATTCTTTATCTTCTTTCTCGTGTATGTCAAATTTTAGATTCAAAATTTAACATATATTTTTTGAAACACCCTGTATATTCCAGTATTCTAAATAGGACACAAAAATCAATAAATAAATACGCTGTGTATTTATACGACGGTTTTATTCCACACGTATCATCAAGTTAATAAGGTTAATGTCTATATCTAGAAGAATGATTCATAATAAAAAATATTAATTCAAGTCAATAGAGGTCATTAGAGGCCATCATACTCTGTAATGATCTGGTTTGTTCTTTGATTGAGTTTAACTACCTTATGTACCCGTATGTGTAGATTCGTACTTTTTAAAATTCAACGCTTGTTAGCCGGTCTTGCTCTCGGTAGTCTGCAAATATAGTTCCACATATCCGGATTCAAATGAACCTTTTTAATATTTTATTAAGTAAACTTCTTTGTAAACTGTATAAATTTAATACATGCTTAATCAGAAAATCATTTATATTATGGTGTATACAGCTAAATTTTTAATTGGTATTTTAAAGGTTATCAAGTACAAAGTGCCACCTGACTGATTTTTTTTTCAAAACAAAAATTCAGCGAAGTAGAAAATGTGTGAAAGTGAAATTTAGCAACGTCTTATCAATACCGAATATAAAACTAGCTGTTGCTTATCAATCTTGTGATATCTAAGTCAATATACAAAAGGAATGTTGGGACACCATTTGCACGAGGAGTTAAAGGGCATACCATCAAAATAATAACATCATGGATATAAAGCAAGATGGCAGCATATGTGATGTATGTTTTGAAATGAAATTAAAAACTAAAGCTGAGACTATATGCAACACATGTGACATCAGACTATGTAAGGAATGTGTTGGTCATCACATTACCAACAAAATATCATTCAGACATGATGTTGTTCCTTTTAATTTCCATGAGACTCTAGATGTTGTATTGAGCTGCAAAAAGCATTGTGTAATATTTACTGTGACCAATGTGAGACAAGCATTTGTCTAAAATGTCTTTCATCCGGATTACATAAGGATCATGGTATTCAAACTTTGTCTGAAGCTTGTTATTTAAAGCAAGAATATATCAGGAAGGAAAGCGAGAATTTAAAATCAAACATCTTGCCTGCTTATCGATTTGCCTTGCAAGAAATAGAAAATCTTATTTCGAAAGCTACTATAGCACACAAACAAAGACAAAGTGCCATTGATACACTGGGGAAGGAATTCCACAAAATAGCAGATGACATTGTTTCAAAATATCGTACTGAAGCTAAAACTGCAGAGAAAAAGGACATTTATCCACTTCAAACACTAAAAGATGAATACCAAAACAAAATATCGTCAATAAATGAAGTGTTAGAAGAATTTGAAGGATTGTTTTCATCTGAAGTTCCCACTGGAATTCTGTCATATTGTTCTAGAAAAACATCACTAGAGGTCCCTGAAAAATTAAAGATCGTAATAGATATACCGGATTTTCATCCCAAATTTCTTTCCAAAGATGAATTTTGCAAACTGATAGGATGTCTACCATCATCTAGTATTGAAATCAGAGAAGAAAAGATATGTGCATCAACCATGATCTGTTCACCAGACATAGTTGTCAAGGATTCTGTGAGGGTAACTACATATTTAATTGATTTTAAAACAAGAGGCCATGGGCCACAATGTAAACCTGCATGCGTAACTTTTATCATGCTGTTTTTAACGGATTTTCCCTATGTCATACCTATTGTGGCCCCACCCAATGCTGGAGGTCATGATTTGGACGTTTTAGAATCTACAATTCCCCAGGATGCTTTCGCATGTTTCAGCTTTTCTGGACCAGTGGTTCCTAAAAAGAGTATTTTTTAATTCCACAAATCCTTTCTTCCTCTTTTCTTAAAATCTCCCCTTGTAACTGGTCTGGGGCCCTACAATTCAATAATTTAAAGCCCCCTTTACCTAAGAATGCTTTGTTCAAAGTTTGGTTAAGACTGACCGAATGGTACCTGAGAAGTTGATAATGTGAAAAGTTTACATACGACGGACAAAAGAATGGACGACGCACAACGGATGATCAGAAAAGCTCACTTGAGCTTTCTGCTCAGGTTAGCTAAAGAGTATGTAAGCAAAACTGTAAACAAGTCTCTCTTGGTGTGAGTATATACCTACATGTAATTCTTTAAGGTATCATGATATTAGGTTTCCAAAGTTTTAAAAATACAAAATTGTACTGCTTAAAAACATCCTGATAGTACAATAAAGTACTTTGAAGTTCATATAAAAAGATGTTTGAGTTTCCGATTGACATTATTTATGTAGTGTTTGAGATAATTTCTTTAAACAATATGTTGAAATTTCAATGGATACGTTATAAGCAGTACTACATGTAGTCCTATTTTTGTATTCGTACAAAGAAGAAGTTATCTTCTACATAATGAAAAGAAAACACTTGTTTTGGCCTTCATTATGCTCACCCCAAAATTTCGATATATCGACAACGTATTTTTAATTAAAAATAGTTGCTTCCGATCGTATATTGACTTCATGAAAAAACAGGTGAACGGTATCTGTATAAAAAAAAGATTGAATAACTTCCGAATCTTGAAAAAGTCTTGTCTACTGCAACATCTCAGACCTTTTCAGTGTCATCAAGATATATACAGACATCTCGTTGTTTTCTAACCATCGATAGAAGCTTAAAATTCATTAAATAATTCTGATGAATGTAATGCTCTATTTCTAAATAAATGATTATAAGATAAAAATATCACTACTGTGGCTTTCCAGATTTTAACGAAATGTGACAGTCAGTATAACATGTAGAATACTGTACTGAACTAAGGTCAAGTCAAATTATTTTTATTGATCTACATTAAAGTAATGGTAACCACATATTAAGTCAAGCAACCTTCGAGAAAAAAAATGTTAAACATACCAATCTTCAAGCTAAGCTCTTCTTTTCTGCGAAGTTGTTATTTTCGCTTTAACTAGATTTAACTCTTTTACTTGAACTGATGTTATGTACAACACTAATTAGAAAAAAAAATACTGGCAGAGGATAAGTGTTTAAATTAAAAAAAAAAACGTTTCTGTTGTTTTGTTAAGTAACTCAAAATTTCTGAATCGTATTTATTATTAAACTGTTACATTTTGTTGTTTTCATTTGAAAGTTCCGAGAGGGCTAGAAAGGTCTGTGGCTGCTTCCCTGTCCACTTCAAATTATTTAACAGTGTTAAATTAGGAAAAAAACATACACATATCTTTCTTTCTTTGTTTTGCCAAAGAGACGATGACTGTTCATTCAATCGTGCACGTTAAACAACTATGCATCTGGAACAGTTCATCATTTAAATGTCAAATATGTGCAAACACCTCAGGATCTGTAGTGTTATGGTCAAAGACTAAAATAGAAAAAAAATTAATCTTAATAGTGCTGCAGCTACAGAACCCATGACCCAGGGTTATGAAATTGACAAAAGTAGAAGATCTTTATGCTCACTCATCATAAATTTGCACTAAGTGGAAGATTTCATATTACTTACATAACTATTGGTTGTTCCATCACCTTCATTTTTTTCAATCTCCTTTTGATGCGTTGTTTTTTTTCTGTAGTCATATGAACGATGAATATTAATCGTTTATAAGTTTGTCTATGATTTGTGTATGTGAATTGTATTCAAGTATGTATTCATTGTATCCACGTTTACAGATAAAGGTGTACTACTTTCATCCACTAGAGAAAAGGAAAATTGAGCAGACGTTGGAAGTTAATAAAGACAAGACACTACAGGAGGCTACTGAAATGTGTTTTAAGGTTGGATGGTTGCACCTCTTCTCTGTTATAGGAAAAACAAACAATCAAAGAAACCAACTCGTCTCATCCTAGGATTTCTTTATTGGGTTGCATATAAATGTACATGTTGGAAAATTAGAAAATCTAGAAAACAGCCCTAGTATCACATGTGCATAAATGTTTTATATAAATCGTAAAGGTAATCTGCATTTCTAATGCTCATTTAATCCAGAGACTAATTATTAAGAAATTCCGATATCTTTATTAAAGCTATCATGTTCTGTTAGACACATTTGCATAAATTATTGTCATATGTTAAAAAATCTTTCAGCTATTCTGCGTTGATAAGTCTACCCCCCTGGACTGCTGTCGCCTGGTGAAGTTTGACGAGTACCAGGACGCGCTTGAGTGCTCCTTTGAGGACGAGGAGGACACACCCATGGGTCTGTTACTCGGAGGGGTCAAGCAGGCCTACAACTTTGATCTCCTCCTGGAAACAAAGCGCCGAGATCAAATGTTTCCAGAGTACAAACCTGGAGGTTAGTGAATAGATGATTTGATAAAACTTTATTCTCCTTCTTTGTGCTTTAATTAGTTAGGGCTGAAACAGACACTTTTTGGTGATCGCTTGTGATACGCACATGTAAATTGTACAAAAAGGTTGATATTCAACACAACAAGGGTTGATATCTAGAATTTGTTTTTAAAATATTATAATTACAGCCTACTCCGGATATATTGAAATTCAGGTGACCATGCAAATTATTTCAATATATCCGTAATTCAATATAAGCGAAATCGTAAAGCCGCCAATTTTACAAGTTCAATCCCGATCTTAAAATAAAGAAGAACAAACCCTAACAAATTAATGTTGTCATCGTTTATCTATAACAGTGAACAGATTACATAGAATATGAGTCCTTGAAAGTTTAAATATTTTTTTTTTATTTCTGTTTCATTGAAAAGACAATCTTTAACCTCATTATTATTCCCCGATCGCACTTATTTACGTTTTGGAGAAAATTCATCGGACTTAAACGTTTGAGTACTGCTGAACGCTGCTTGTATTTCATCGTAAGTGTACTCGGGTAAAATCCCTTAGTTATTTCGAATAAAGGCATATCAATAGCCATTAACAGTAAGTATTTAATTTCAAAGTGATGTTTTTTCCTAGATCTGTGGGGGTTACTATATTACGTTTAGCTGTTTATATGTACGTATTATATACATGGACGCAAAGAATTTAACAGTGAAGAATTTTATTTCCTAAGAGCATGCAGTATAAAAACACATAGGGTGAAAACTTAATTATTCACACCTGTGTATATAACTGGTCAATCAGGCATAATTACTGTCACCAACCGTAACGACAGCCGCCAGGGTGTACTTCAATGTAACCGTTATGAAAACAACTCATTATCACCTGTTGGGACCGATTAGTGGCTTCAATATAAGCGAAATTTCAATATATCCGATTTCAATATAACCGTTATTTTAATGCAAAGAATATGAGAGGCAAAAACTGGGGATTTATTTCTATTTCAAAATAAGCGGAATATCAAAATAAACGAGTTCAATATAAGTGGAGTAAGCTGTATGTGCATTTATTCCAGCAAAACTTTTTACCGGTGTAATGTACAAAAAATTAATATTCTAAAAGTATGTTTAAAAGTAAAAATATATAAATACCAAAAATTCAGTATAAATATTACAATTTCTTACATTTATAAGGGCTTACAGTAAAGTTGTATGTGGCAGATCTACAAAATGATGTCATTCAGGAATCGCCCATCATTGTACGGGCCTACCACGCTCAAACTATGACAGAGTTTAAACGTATGGTGGCAAAGGTGAATGGCACCTGAGATAAGGATCTATACATTAATTTCATTGTTATTGGCGTCATCTTTTATGCGTGATTCATCAGTTTGGAATTTATCCTCAACGATTAATTTTCACGAATGAAAAAACATTCTCTACAAACACAGAGCAAAATACATGTACATGGTTAGCGGCAAATAATATTCACGACTTGGAGTACGTCACGAAATTCGCGAATATTTCTCGTATGCGAATAGATGTTGGTTAACAGTATTTTACATAAACATAGCTGCTGTCATTAACAAGACACAGTTGAACAAGGGATGCCCCATTTACTTGGAATTGTACCTTGGAATCCGAAGTGTGTTCCTGATTTGGTAGCTTAGTTTTGGCTAAAAGGTGGAGTGCACTGAAGCTATGAGAGTTGGGTCCCGGTGTTTTGCGCAAAATAAAATCCCTCATGTCATGAAATTTGTTTTATAGGTATTAAACAATGTTTTAAGAGCAGCTTGTGGCATATTATATAAGAAAGTACCAAATATAATGCCGAGCGACACTAGCTTTTGTCAAGTTTCCAATGTTATTCATATACTCGTATACCGGTTTTCAACGACATTGTTTATATCGAGCCGCAACTTGGCCATTGGTCTAATTTGCACTAAATGTGGATTTTAGTTTAAACTTATACATGTCCAAGGGACAATGTTGGCCAAGGTGCGTCTCATTTCTAATTTTTTGAAAAAGTCTCCAAACTAATGTTGAGTTAGCCACTAAATTAACATTACTCACGCGACATTCCACGGTTCGATACGCCAACGCTTTCGTTGAACAGCTGTTGACCATTTCATTGTGTTTGTCATTTGAAGTTTATATTCGGACCGTATCTATCGTACTTCCAACTTCAAACTATGGAAGATTTTTTGCGCAAATTTTTATAAGGTTCGAAGATTATATACATTTTATTTGACTGTGTATTTTTCGTCAAGAGTGTTTTGAAAGAATTCATTCTGGTATTGGTAATGAGATTAGTAAATAATTACAGGCTCATGTCGCCTCAGTGTTATGATCTGGAGGGCGTGAATCTACACCATCCCTAAACACTAGAATCATTTATTATTTCTGCACCATGAAACTACATAGTCTCTCTCCTCATTATTTTAATTCATAGTGTAGCATCTGACTGCGAAAAAATCATATGTGCTACTGTTTATACATTCCACATCCATGCGATTAAAATTTCTCCGCCTATTTGTGGGTACCTTAAATTCGATATTGACCCCATTCAAATGTCCTGAATTTAAGGCTAACACATGTTCTTATTAACAGCATTATCTGTAATTATAGAAACAGGCATGACAAAAATTTCAAGGCATAAATATCAAAAGCATAATTGCTAGCACTATAATTATAGATTAATTTTGCCATATATTGAAATGTAAAGATTAAAATGGGTAGCCGAAAGGGTTCCAAATGACGTACTAAAGTGCACTCATTCTCTATGTATATTTTGAATTTCAGGTTTTGGGTGTCTCAGTAGCCCAGATGAGATGTGTTCTGGAAAGGTTTCACAATGACCTCAAATTTTTATCTGTCCCCAACAAAACACTGAAAACAGAGGGCTTCTTCAAAAGCAACAAGGTAATATTAGAAATTGAAAGTTAAACTGAAATAATCAGTTGGATATCAATTAAATCATTCAAAGTTGCATTATCTATTAAGTTAACATTTTCAATAGAAATAACATTTTCTTCCTCTTTTGAAATTGTCTTTGCCATGTTTATGTAGGTGTATGTGGAGTATTCCGGGGAGGAGGACACCACACACTTTACACACACCCACTTCTTCCGATTGCTGGACCGCCACCAAAACACCATCAGGATTCATGTCAATCTGCCCTCCACATGTTTGTAACCATGCTTCATATTATAATAACTAGTTTTTTATATGCAATCTGCAGAATCTAAATGTATTGAATATTGTAAAAGGAAACTTTTTAGATTGACTATTTTGGATTTATTAGTAGCACAGTTGATGTGTAGGTTTGTAAAAAATATACGTAGGAAAGCTTTGTATAGGAGTGTAAACAACATTAAGTTTTGTTCTATTTCTAAAATTGAGCTATAAATGCATACACATTTCCTCTTTTGTGATTTTTGTTTTATTTCAGCTGATGTAGAGGATTTCCTGAAGTCAAATTCAAGACATAAACAACTGTTGAAAAACGCCATAATAAACGCCAAACCCAGAGAGGACAGTTCTACTTCGTTAGAAATCAGAAGTAAAAGCGGAAGTGACTCCTTAGACGAGGAGATAAGCGACAGAGGAAGTGAAATAGATTTCAAACTGAAGACATCTGATGGACAGGACGAACTAGTGGAACACAGAGAGAGTGATTCGGAACAAAACTTGGATTCAGACTTTGATAATGATGTGACAATTATAAAAGAGGAGGATTCTAAACGTTATTTTCACATTGTTAACAATGTATTGGATTTGTTAACAAAACAAAGAAGTAAGGATTCTGTACATTTAATTTGAAATCTGAAAGGATTTTAGCTCCATATTTGTGTTGTAAAATTGTAACATATTTGTCTGTTCATGTTGGCACATGGAATATTGTTTCGCATTTTTTCTATGCAATCTACGTTGTATATTTAAAATTAATACGTTGTATTTCCCTGAAATCCTGAACCATTTTCATTTGCAATGAAATTTATTATATGAATTATTTTTTTTAGATATAACATGTTTAAAAAACAATTTGATCAGACAGATAGGATTCCAGCTTTTATCACGCAAATAATTTATTTGCAATTATTCCGAAAAAAAATTCAACATATTCATTAATACATGTATTGTGACACTAAGATTATCAGTAACTTTCAAATAATTCATGAAATTTGCTTAATCTTTTTTTCTTTTAGAGTCAAAGCTTTTTATTTTCATTTCAAACATTACAAATTTGTTGGCATGGTACAGTGTAAAAAGAATAAAAGTATCTATGTTTTAATGTTCATGCGTAAGATATCTGCTATTTGATATGAACATGATGAGAAACAATATTTTCTTTTCTTTCAGATTTAACAGTGCTTGTTGATAAACGAATTACACTTGGGGCTTTCAAAAAGGAGTTAGAACCTCACGTAGGAACATCTTCAGATAACTTTAAGGTAGCTCATCTTTTTTTACAAACAAGAAAGATAGTAAATTAAAATAGTTTTGTCCATGCTCTAATTCCGCTCTATCCCATGTACATGAAAAGTAAAAAAACATGATATAGGTGGATAAAAGTTTAAAGGTGTTATATGTATTAGAACATATCTTGTTTCACTGAGAGTATTACCAAATAGCTTCTTTTTCATTTACTAGTATGTCAAGTACAGTCAATTCTAATCTAACACTGTATAAACATGTTTAATTGTACTTATATGTTTTAGGAGGGGCATATACCTGTATATTTCTTTATCAGATCATGTGTTTATCAGTAGTTGATTCAGTTTCTAAATGTTTTTCTTATATTTTCGCATAGGTCTATCGTGCGTACTCAAATAATGAAGAGTTTGAAAGCATCAGACTTAATGAAACTCTTTCATTCTTTGAGGATGGACAGGTAGGAGAAGTGCACAGTATTTTTTCACATTTGTGACGATTACGATAATTAGGACTGAAAATGATAGATATCATATAATTCATGAATATTTATGATGCAGAGGGGAAATGTACTTTGAGATAAGATTTCTTGAGAACAATGTGAAAGAAATATATAAGATTTGAATCAAAGATAATTTCACATGCGGTGATTTGTTTACATTTCAAGTTACTGTGGTTCTTTTCAGTTGAACCTCAAGCTGGGAAGAGCTTTAAAACCAGGAGAATACAGGGTCAAAATCTATCAGCTTCTTCTCAATGATGCAGAGGTGGGGATGTAAAAGTCATGTTTTAGTAACTTTGTTTTTGGAAAAAAGTAATGATATCACCGGAATCTAAGTGATATGCTATACTCCTATAATTTTATCAACTTAATTACTGTAATAGAGCATAATCACTTACATTGACTGATTATTTCATGTAGTTTTACAGATAAAGAGTTTTATTTTCTAAATGTCATCCCTCCTTTGAAAAAAGACAGAACCATTTTGATGTAACATTTCTAACTGTGTGTTTTGAAAAAAAATTGTTCCTATTTATAGCCTGGGAAGTTTTTGATTGACACCATATTTGCCAAAGGAATGTCTGTCTTAGAATCCAAGAAACTGATTATCCCCGACATCAAAGAACAGTGTGGTATAGACATCCCTCTGGAAAGGTAAACAAAGTAATACAAACACATATAGAAATTTTAGTTTGCTTGATTTGAGGACAAATAATTGTTCACAACGTTTGAAGTGCAAGGTTTTAAGATAAAGTTATGAAGTATACACATACACCTATAAAATAATATTTCTGTTGAAAAAATGATACAGCCAAACTTATATTATGTCAAAATCTATGGGACCAAAAAAAATATATTGAGATACTGTAAACTAATCTTTATTCGAGTACTAGAAATAATCAGGTAAAGAATTATTTGTTCAAATATTGTCATCAAATGATCAAAATAGAACCATTTTACCCTTAATTGAAAATATTTATCTTACAAGTTTCACAACCTACTTTAACTCGCAAATATAAATCATCCTTAAAGAGGCTAGGGGTGGCAGCCATTTTTAGACTATTTCAAACTCCTTTCAAAGGAGAGCTCCATATAAAGATATACAAAAATGATCAAGTTTTAAAACTAAAATGTATGAATTTTCTCTTTGTCAAATGATAGTTGACAGCTAAAGATAACATATCTAAAAAAAATTAATTAAATCGGGTGGTTAATTTGGAATTAATTTGTTGACCCACCAGCCTCCTTAAGCATTTATTTTGCTTTGTGATTATAGAAAAATTTCCTTCATCGCAAAAATTAGAATAGATTGGACATATTACTTATGACATATTCTTGATATTCAAGGTATTGGGGTACTCAGAACTGAGAAGTAAAACTATAATAATATCCTTTTAAAATTTCTTTCATCCATTGTTTCGAATTCTGTATCCCAGAACTTGATTTCGATCGATTTTTTCCCGTTAGATGTCGGCTGCGTAAGAAGACATGGAGAAATCCCTGCACGGTGTACGTAGACAATCAGATCTACGAGGATAATCCATATCTTCGCCAATTGGGAAGTCTATTTACAAATCCTGGATGGTAATTTGTGGATTTTGTTTGAAAGTTTTTCCTCAGTTTCCAACTTTTCCCCTAAAAAGCCATGCTGGATTCTAAAATTAAAATCAGCAATATTATATCGAGTTTAAATTCTTTGTGTATAATACTAACTTTTCGGATTTGTACTCGTTCCCCCTTTTTTTTAATCAGTAAAGTTAAGAAAGAGAGGAAGGAATCTTTGAATTTAACAAATTTTTATTTATTTGACAGGGCCTGAAGAGATGAACACTACGTCATAACTGGCCATTTTTGTCCGGAGATGGAGACCCAGTACATATGAACTGGACCTATTCCAGGAAGTGATTTTGTCGTCCCCAACTGTGGATGACCTCAAAGATAAGGTAACATTTGAATAAAAAAATAATGATTACCTCATTAGATATATAGTTGCTAAAAATGGTCAAACAAGGACCATCTTTAAAACTCGCTGTGCTCCTACAATGAGTTATGTTGAAAAGCTCAAAGTTCAACCTGAATTCTTGTGTGTCATAATACAGCCATACAGACTTTCAATATACTTGATTATACATTATGTTTTCCCCTATTTCTAAAATAAGCGGAATCCCTGTACATGATATTGAGTATGCAAAGGTAAACTTTTTAATAAACATGTACAGTAGCAGAGTCTTTTTCAATTTAATAATTTTCCTAATTTTGTAGTTATTTTACACCGTTATAACCTTCTTACTACGAGGTGAAAAATTGAAATACACGGCAGAGTTATGACAAAAGCACGTTTTAAAGAAATGTCACGTTTTAGCATGGTGCATTTGTAAAATATTAAAAAAAACAAATGATTGTTAACAGGCAAAAATCTGAATTTGTGAATTTCTATGATCTTCCCCAACAAGAAATGTTTATAAAAAAAATAGATTCGACCCTTTCGTTTTTAAATTTTGCCCAGCATTTTACTTCTCTCCTGTTGTATGGATAGATAATTTCAATTATATGTAAAATTGTTCTGTCTTGATCATTTTATGACAATAGTTGAACAGGTCATTCTTTACCTGATTATTACTTTTTATTTGTCATATTTATATAGATAAGCATTTAGATGAGAATAATGTATGAGGCAAAAAGCTACATTCTACACTATTTGTTTTAAACCAATTCATAATGATAGGATTGAAGGACTCATGTTACAAATAGATTGTGTAGCTTTCATGAACAGTCACTGAAGCAAGGAAAAGATTTAAATGGGGTGCTACATTAAAGATAAGATCTTTTAGTTATTTTAAAATGAAAAAAGATAGCTTTAAAATTCAGATAGCTGAGTTTGAGCATTTAAACTTTCACAAATAAAAAATATTTTCTAATAATCTAAATCATAAAAGAGTGAACAATAAAGAAGATATTATACGGTAAGCAAGTATATATTTTACTTTTTGTTTTATTTTTTAAATTTTCAATTCGGTCAATTTCATTGATTTGTATTCAATACTAATTTTATTCCATGCGGGGTTGTTAATTTTTATATTGAACAATGTACAGTTTTTTTATTAGATCGTGTCAAAATATTCAGTTATTTGCAATTACATCAGCGAATTATGTACCAAATTATTCTGACAAATTAAATTGTCAGTTAATTTTGGATTTGTTAAATCGATAAAGTATCTACTGTTTGCACCAGTATTACTTCTCATTGAAGTGTCCGGTGGTATATAATATAAATCTCGTTTGTACTAAGTTTTGAAGATGCACTATTGAATAATATTTTGATCCGTGTGCATGAAATCTTATTGAGATTTTTTAGGAATAGCAGTGTCTACTGGAATACTTTATACATGGTTAAATTTATTATCAACTTCATATTTCATTTGCTGACAATTATGACTACCAAGACAAAAACATCAATATTGTTTCATTTCTTCCAGTTTACCGTTCAAGACGTGAAATGTTTATCAACTAGTAAATAATTTTTATGAAATTCGCCAACAAGAAATGTCTCTAAAAAGATAGATTCGTCTTTCCAAATTCCGCCAAGCATTTTACTTCCCTTCCGTTGTAAGATAAATATTTTCAATTATGCGTAAAATGGTTCTGTTTTGATCATTTGATGACAATATTTGAACAAATAATTCTTTACCTGATTATCACTCTTTTACTTGTGATATTTTAAAAGATAGATATTCCGATGTGAATAGTGTATACGCTACATTCCACACTATTTTTTCAATTCAAAATGATAGTATTGTAAATGTATCCTAAAAATAGAGTCTGTAGACTTAGCCATAATTAATAAGTACCGGTTATTGTTGTGTATGTAAAGATATACCTCTAATTGGCATCCATGCGTCAGTATGACAGTCAATAACGCGAAAAAAGACTGTCGCCTCTTAATATATACTCTTAAAAAACACAGAGTAGATTTTTAGTGACATATTGAACACACGGGTACTTGTGGACATCCCCCCCCCCCCCAAAAAAAAAAAAAATAGTCAACCCCGGGGCTTTATGGACTTTTTTTTTTTTCTTTTTTTTTTTTTACAAATTATAATTATTACGCTCATTCATCATAAGTACAATAGAAAAACAGAGATCTCTCTAGTAATGTATAATGTGGTATTTTTTGTTGAGCGATTATTATGGGGGTTTAGGTATTTTTTCTATTGTCAAACGAGCCGTACGTGGCTGTGTACTGTGAGACTGCAATACGGCATTAGGATGCTGCAAAATTGAATAGGAATGTGTAAGGAGATTATGGTTAGAGTATCTATTTTCCATCAAAATCCTTTGAATTCGAACCAAATCAATCTTACTTGAAATTGAATAAGCACTAATATAATGTCATATTTTTGTGTAACATGTGACATGACATATTGCTGCATTAGCCAGAATCTTTATCACATGCACTCAGTGTTTTCCCTAAGAGCCGGCAATCAGGTAAATTGACCGCTTTAAATGACAAAATTGTCACTTTAGAATAACAATTTGTTGTAAGATCCACAGAGATTTTGTGATCACTAACCCTTTACTTTGAAATAAACGGAAAACACTGATTCATAACAATCTATCATCATATGTGAAATGAACTACTTATCATTATTCTCCCATCCAATCAGATGGGAGGCATGGAGGGCAGCACTTTTTATGTTCTGAAGGTACTTCTTCATGAACCGGTGGTCGCAGCTTCTGTCTTCAGGTGAACCCCATCACTTGCCAAGTATTTCATGTCTGGGTTCCAGAAACTACAGTGGTGCCAAATTTAATTTTGCTGGTGAACTGGTGATATTGATGGTGTAAAAGTTTATTATTGTCAATCACTGTCGCCTACTTGGATGGATGTCTGCTGACCAACTTGAAAGTCGAGTAATTCTCTTGAGCTGGCTAGCTCGCGGGTCTTGAGACCGCCCCTGGCTCATATTAACGATTTAATGGATGTTTCTGTAGCCGTGAATTATCGGAATCTGGTTCATTCAGTTAAAAAACACAAAGCAACTCTTCAAAGAAGGATTGACCTATCTGCACTACAGTGCGCGGTTTGGGATATAAGGTTTTTACCTCCATGCTGACTAATCCGAAATCGATTAAGACAATTGCACAATCCATTAAACTGTTCAAACTGATAACGCGTCTGAGGTGGTGTCGCAGGAGTAAAAAATATAGCTTTAAATCAGAGAAATTTGAATTTCTCTCTAAATTCATAAAATTGATTCCAACCTCATGTTTGCGTAAAATTGAATTAATTGAGCACTCGATCCCGATGAAGCCGAACCCGATCCAAACATGAGTTCGATCCCGATCCAGTCGACCCCACTCTTTTTACATTAAAAATCAATAGCAACTGCAATTTTCATCTAAATTTGTCAAAAACAATGTAAAATAGATTGTATATAAATCATTTTATAAGACATAAAATTGTATTTGTGTAAATTTTCGAATTTGCACTATTAGTTAATTCTTTCATCCGTATGCATGCAATCTTATTGAGAGTTTTTAGAGACGAGAGTGTCTACTGGAATACTTCATACATGGTTAAATTTATTATCAATTTCATATTTTATTTTCTGACATGACTACCAAGACAAAAACACCAATATTGTTTCATTTCTTCAAGTTAACTGCTCAAAACGTGAAATGTTTATCTACTAGTAAATAATTTCTATGAAATTCGCCAACAAGAAATGTCCGTAAAAAGGTAGATTCGTCTTTCCAAAATTCTGACAAGCATTTTACTTCCCTTCCGTTGTAAGATAATTTTTTTTCAATTATGGGTAAAATGTTTCTATTTTGATCATTTGACGAAAATAGTTGAACAGGTAATTCTTTATTTGATTATTACTTTTTTACCTGAGGTATTCTAAAAGATAAACACTCCGATGTGAATAGTGTATAAGCTACATTCCACACTATTTTTTCAATTCAAAATGATAGCATTGTAAACGTGTCCAATAAATAGAGTGTGTAGACTTAGCCATAATTAATAAGTACCGGTAATTGTTGTATCTATACAGATATATCTCTAATTGACATCAATGCGTCAGTAATACAGTTACTAATGCAAGAAAACCCACTGTCGCTTCGTTATATATACACTTTAAAAACGCATGGTAGAATTTTATTGACACATTGAACACACGGGTTCTTGTGGATATCCCCCCCCCCAACAAAAAAAAAATAGTCAACCCCGGGGCTTCTTGGAGTATTTTCACAAATTATATTTATTACACCTATTCATTATAAGTACAATAGAAAAAAGTGAGATCTCTCTGATAATGTATAGTTGGGTATTTTTTGTGGAGCGACTATTTTGGGGGTTTAACTATATTTTGTATTGTCAAATGAGCCGTATGTGGCTGTGTACTGTGAGATTGCAATACAGCACTAGGATGCTGCAAAATTGAATAGGCATTTGTAGGGAGATTATGGTTAGAGTACCTATTTCAATGAAAATCCTTTGAATTCTTACTTTCGCAAAATTCCGTTTTCCATTTCATTACACTACCAACACCAACTTTTTTAACATCCTGGAGACAGTTATCAGTCTAACGTTCATTACAAAGTATTATCACCCTTTAACTTATAAGAGTCTTTCCGATAAACATTATGGATTAGTATCTCGTAGGCAACTGAAAACTGTCTTGTTACTTGATCTGTGCAATTCGGGGATAGATCATGCTTTAGATGACGTTCATTGTGTTACATTAATGCAATTTACAGTATCCTCTAAAGTGATGCTCTGCTGCTGATGTCACACGTAGTGTACCGTATTTTTGCCAACATTGGATGTTCGATCTTAATGGTTTATGTTTTATAGGTTAGATTGATCGATTGATTGTATATTGTTTACCGCCGAGTCCGCAATTTTCAGCC